ACGAATATAAAATATCAATTTGTAGGCCGTACTGGCTGCTATGACGTAAATGGAAGAAATTTCTTTAATCATCGGCAGTATTGTCTGTACCAAATTAGTTTTCGTTTCAAACATAGCTATCTCGCGAACGATTGTAACACTATTGTACTTAAATTATGCTCTAGTGAATTAACTTTTATACGAGTTTATGTTTATATGCATACGAGTATATAAACATACGGTAATTTTATTCGTGCATATTTTGATTGCGTCTTTCAAAAGATGTAAATTTTCCTCGTTTTTGCAACATTTTGCATTGATACTCGGCACCTATTTGTGGTAGCGTGAGGTTATGTAACCTATAGTCGTACTAGATAAAGGAACTAAATGATAAATGATATTTATTGCTGTAAGTAAATCTTTTCAGATATTTTTACAACTCTGACTTTACAGGTAGATGGAGCCGGCATTTCCTAAGACTCACTCTGGGAGGAAACGCCGAAACAAACCACAGAGGAGTCTTTTTTTTTAAGTCCGTAAACAAAGTTAAATAAAACTAACTATTTTATATCCGGACAGTTACCAAACGGATAGACTTCAGCTTAACAATATTAGTGTAGACACGCTTAGAACACTAACCTTGTCATAGTCCTGCATAAAAGAATTTGCTTTTGTTTCACTTTCACGCCTTAGCTGCTAAACTGATCGTAAAAATTTTGCAGACATATTGGCATGGGTAAAAATGATTTAGGGTTTCTATCATCCAGAAGTAAATTATAGTTTCCGAGGGGCAGAAAAAAACAATTTGGAATCGTGTACAGTCACGGGCAAATATTAGTCATTCATACAATATTATATTAGACAAACGTTGATTTGGCTTCTTTTGGTGAACCCTTTCACCACCAGACCCAACTGCTTGTTGCCCCCTGGCAGCAGTTGGGTCTGATGGTAAGCGACTGCCGCCGCTCATAGTCACATGCAACTCAAAGAGTCACAAGTACGTAGCGCCCTTTCGGTAACCCCCCCCCCCCTCAATGCAACAAAAGAATAGCTTCATACCTGTTTCATATGTCTTTGTAATTGTATGAAGCGTTGTCGTCTAACCATATTTGTCCAATTTAGTGTGTGAAAGAAGTAGATAGTAAGGTTTTGTTATAACTAAGGAACCATAAAATCGTGAACATTTCAATTGTAGGTTTATATTTACTTAGCAGTGTGAGAGAATCGCCTAGTGTTATCTTATGGCTTGAGCTGTTGTATAATCAAGTTAACTATATCGAGGTACCGTTTCGATAGCTCTGTAAACGGTGACCGGCCCACAAAGATATTGTCGAAAGGTTACTATACCTTTCCAAATATTTGCCTTTAACATTACATGTCTTACGAAATTGAGATATTTTATATATGAAATTAATTAACCAGCATACGATCTTATAGTGAGTAGTTCCTGGAAGTCGTTGTGTGATTAACCCTTTTTCTTGCAAAGTAATTGTAATGCTTTTCTTGTAAGAGTAGAAACCCGCTAAGTCCGTAAACATTACTAAGGGCCTAGTGTATTTCACATCTACTGTATCGTCATGGTGACCGCGATTGGCGCTGCGATTAGCCTGCAATGAAATATTCACCAATCGCAACGCCAAACGCGCTCGCTGTCGAGAGCGAGTTGATGAGACTTGCATTAAGTTCTCAGTTTTTTGATAAGGCAGTAAATTGAAATAGAACCGACTAAAACCACAAGGTATGCCAAATTGAGAGTAAATTAGTTAAGGATCCGGCAACAGCTTTTAATAAGACATGTAGTTTGCATATAACTCTTACTTAAGTGAAGATATTCATCAAGAAAAATACAACATTCAGGCAACTGAACGTAGTTGTATTCTATCGGGTTAAGCTTTTCCCGTACAAAATTTTTAGGTATCTACTTCTTACAACTAACCTACCCAATACAAAGTTTAATTAAGTTAAGTTAAAAAATATGCAAAATGAATATAAGAAACAATTCGTTTGATTAAATACCTTTAATTTAATCAAAATTAGTACTACACCCCCCAAAAAGTTTATGTCCAGCCGAGGACTATCTAAGGCTGTACTATACTGTAGTACTACACCTTCAAAAAGAAGTAGGTACATGAACAACGTTTATCATAATAATAATCAACTCAGACAGCTGATCCCAAACCAGGCAGATCCTCTACTTTGGTAACCAGACTGCTAATAAACATACTTATATATTTCTCCTATACTGCCGTATTCTACGAGATCAAAAACGCAATGTAAAAACCAATGTAACGTAACGTTATGGTGTGCAATAAAGTATTGAATATCGAGTAAATACATACATACAAGAATATCCTTCTTAAAAAAATTGAACCGACTTCAAACAATATTAAAAAAGAGCACTTAAAACCCAGCAGCAATCGCGGTTGATTTGCTGTCATTTTTTTAAGAGTTCCGTTGTATGTCTCCGAACCTCATCATCACATCTATATGAAATTTAAATGGGACCATTTCGGAATAAACGCCTTTCGAAGAAAAAAAGAATTTTGAAAATCCGTCAATATATGACAGAGATTTGCTATATACGTACATTAAAAAATGAACAAACAGAAAAAAAAACCGAATTGATAACCTCCTCCTTTTGAAGTCGGTTAATTATGGATAAATTACACCCAAGCACAAAACAAATGATCATGCCCATCGCGCAATTATTCATCTTGTGTGGCAGTTCAACCCTCGACTTCTGATTAAGCAGTCAGGATCACTAACCGTGGTCCGTGTGGTGATGGAATCAGAATACGGAATGTCACTACCTCTATTCATCCCATTGATATCGTAAGAGCCGACTAAGGGCTCAAACTCTGCAGGACAACAGCACTGCAAAGAGAAGGAAAAGGAAAACACCAAACCCTATACCAAGCGTGGTATAGTAGGCCAAAACCTTCTTTCTAAGGAGATGCCTATGTTCAGCAGTGTGACTATTAAAGACTAGATGATGATGATTACTAACCACTAGGCCAGCAGGCCAGTCAATAATGTGTACATCCATAAAAAAAAAAAATCTAATCATTTAAAGTGACCAACCAAAGTATTTACAATATTTTGTCAAATCCAATACACAATATGCTCACGTTTACGTGTTGGCGTAAGTTTGTAAAGCCAGTAAAATTTTGTAGTGGTAGGAGAATACAAATTGTGCTTTCTTTTTTAAGAATAGCTATGCAAATATTAGGGTTAACTCAGTTAAAAACACGTACATTAAAGCAGTTTGGACTTGAAACACACTCAACGGTCATTAGATTAAATCATTTCATAAATAATAAAGACTGGCTCTCTGATTTAGCTTATGCTACAAACGTTTTCAGTGCTGATTTTCATCTGTAAAGTGATTTAACTACTAACTGCCGAGTCTGTACTGCATTAATAAAATATTACGAATTTCAAAACTTACTGATATTTAAAAATGTTATTGAGAGTTTTACGCAGGATTTAAATTAAAACGGTATCTATTAAATATTATATTTTAATTTTCATTGCATTTTATTTTTTATATACCCTGATACAATAAGAAAAATTGTTTTAAGTTTAACATTCTTATCCGTGTATCTGTATGTGAGATTATAGCTCTTTTACGTATGAACTAATATTTTTTCATGTTTTAAAGAAGACGAAGATTAGCTGTAACTCTATGAAATATGTAATTTCTCATCTTACTCTATTAAATATGTTAATTATCCCTATCTACTATATAATGTATCCTTACTAATTTATATACGAGTATGTGAATAATAAATGAATATAATAAATACCCTATGATCAACAGTTTTCTAACTGTTTATTTTATTTATATTTATCTCCCTTAGAAAACATTTACGGCTAAATGTTCATTCATGTTGTAACATTTAGAAAGTATATAATATTCTTATATCAGCGTTATTTTATTGTATATAAGCCCTCTATAGTGTTTTCGTATTCGCATTCCAGAACAAATAGTAATGGCTGAGTATTACTACTATAGCATAAAATGGATTTAACTTCCCGTTACCGGAATTTTATATCATATATAAAAAAATATTAGAAGTACATAAAAAGAAGTGCAGAATAGGTACTTGTAGATTCCAAGTTAGCGATTCTTAAATTAGGAATTTTAAATAGAAGTTAAAAGCTTTTTAGTAACTATTTATTGTCACATGTGAAAACATATTAAATTTATATTGATGATGATGCAGCGCACGTTATCTTAGTATGCAAGTTAGTTAAACCATGTATTAACTGTATAATGTACTAAAATATAATAAAATTGGTCCAAAAAAGCTTTACATCAATCGTTTGCTAGTACCGGTCAATGTTAAAAAAAATATGAATTACGAATTAGTTTTAATTGAAATTACACGTAACGATAAGTGCGGCTAACTGTAACATGCTCGAATATTTTGTCCGAAAGACATCAACGCTTCAAAACGTAAATTAAAGAGAAGTAGTAAAGGAGAACTAAACTAATAAAAATGTGCATGGTTTTATGTTTAACATAGTAAAAGGAAAGCTTAATATTTAAAAAAATGTTAATAATTACAAAATATTTATATATTTTTTTGATAAATTGATAAAAATGTAGCAAAGTTTAAATAAATAAATCAGATTTACTTTTTATTTAGGTATTATATTAAAAAGTGTTTGTCAACAATTGAAATACTGGCATAGTATACAATTACATCCTTTCTCTTACGAGTTAAACATTTTCAGTTCTTCAAATTAGGTATTTAGTACATTTATATCTCAACTAAAATTTAGTTCTTATCTAAAATGATTTTCTTTTTTATATTGACCGAAGTTAATATTTAGTAATCTTCTCATAGTTTAAAACTTCAGTTCATTTTATATTACAGACCACATACACAAAACGCTCTTATTTTTTTTCAAAAATTAATCAAAAACTTGAAAGATAATAATAATAAATGCACAATATTACCTACAATCGGAATACGAATATCCTAATATAAATAAATAAAAATACTGTTACTCACATTATGTCCGTATGTCTCGAACCACGTCGAACAGGTGTCTACTCTTGTATCCACGTCGCTCTGCCTTATATACCGCAGCGACGACCGACCGTGCGAAGATTAAAAAGTATTATGTGTTTTATAACGACCCATGACGTCACACGTCACAATATTATTAGTACTCCTTATTGGTTTAATATGGCTAAATGGAAAAAATAGGCGGGGAAGATAAAATAACGGTTAATAAAATAGTTGTAAAGGTTATATGATATGAGTGTGGTATTTATCAATATTAAATTTGATGTAAGGGTTATAGAGAATTTGTTTTATAACCGTTTAATTATGGTTCTTCTACAAATAAGTTAAGGCGACTGTTTAAATTTTAGGATAGCACGCAGAACAAAAAGTAATAAAAACCATTTTTTTTATAGAATGGGGGCAAACGACGGGGTATCTGATGGTAAGTAACTACCGCCGGGTGAGTAACTGCATGTACACCTGCAACTCAAGAGACACAAGTGCGTTGTAGCACTCTGAGTGCCTTGCCCTCCCCCCTTAATTAAGGGAGAGTGAGTGAGGTTACCGGAGGTCAAATCCTATTAATAACGTATTTTTTTAAATTAAATTGTAAGAAATATCTTCAAAAAAGACTGTCTTTTCAATGTCTTGTCTGTTTTTCTCCATCTACATACTATAACTGTAAAATAGTAAAAATAAAAATGTCAAAATTACAAAAAATCGTGATTGGGGGAGGTTAACCATAGCTTTAAGTGTTTTTCCTGGAATTTTGAAACGGTTTGTCGAACAGCTCAAGATTTTGCGTATTTGAGCCTTTTTAATTTATTTGACTCCCGTAAACCAAGACATAAACATGATAACTATGACACTTAGTGAGCCGTAGAGAAAGATTAACTATAGTAGAATATCTGAAGTGTATTGCAGCAGTTGGAAATAAACAAGTCACAACTATTTCTCTGAATGTTTCACAATAATTGTTCGAAGTTCTTACTCGTTTAATTCTAAGATTTGCAGCGCCACGAAGTTTTAAATAGCTGTGTTTTCTTAATAAATTTATATAATATAAGGGTTTTTATAAAAAGTAGAGGATTTACTCCAATCAGGAAGACATATTATATGGTAAGTTTGTTAAAACGGAATATGAAATATCGTCGTTAGACCTGAAACAGAATGAAAACGTTTTTGAAACTGCAAACTTCTTAAAATGCCTGCCTAGCTTGTTTTTGGCCTTCCCCTACTTAATGCCAAACGTTCTCGGGAACGTATGTAATTGATCTAAGCCGATATAAAGTGAGTATATTAGGGTTCAGAAAAATGAATAAAAAGAGGGCACTAAGGTCAAAGATATCGCAAGTATGAAAATTAGGATTCAGAAATGAATAGCTCGAGAAGGCTCTTAATTATGAGGTGAAAATTGTTTTTTTTTTAAACAATTATAGCATTAGATAGTTCGACGCTACAGCGCTATACGCAAGGCTGTTTCCTTAGAAAATAGCAGTGCAGGACGTTGATAAATGGACCAAATAGTGGTAGAAATGAAAACAAAAGTACTAGATATATGCGTCAAAATAATCATACTACACTACATTATTAAAATTCCTGTTAATCCTTTGTCTAAGCTAAAAACCAGTGTTAAAATCATATCAGTAAAACGTATACTACTGGTTTTGTTCAGCTCTAAAATGCTTGTAGGTACATTTATAATGTATATATTATGTGTTATTACTGTTTGATTTTGGGTCACTATTGCTAGCGCAAAAACAAGGGTTCATCGGACATTCAACCTTGTTTTTGTGACATTGATTTGTGTGTAACGTGGTAGCTTCAAATATAAGCTGTGTGTTGATCTCAATAAATTACAGTGTATCTTACATTGGTTTATTAATTGATTATAATATTTTTGTGTTTACTTATATTTTGTTTGTTCAAAAACACTTTACACAAACATTGTGAACCGTGGGAGAGCCATGTTTGCACACAAATGGTCCGACTCGATCAGAGTGAGCTCAATGCCCCTGATTCTATTCTATTAGGATAAAAAAGAAAAAGAAAGGAGGGAGAGGGTGCTCAAAATATGGAAACACACTTATGACTCTTGAGTTGCAGGTGTCAATGGGTAGCGGTAGTCACTTACCTTGAGGTGACCTGTCTGTTCGTTTGGGCCCCTTACCATAAAAGAAAGTATATCCTGGTACAGACAAAGCCTGCGAAATCCTTTGCAGATAAGCAAGTTAAACAGAAATTCAGCAAAATATATCGTAAAAACTAGACAACAGTCGTGCTCCATCGTCCTCAAACTGTCGGCGCATGAAATTTGGTATTACTCGATTCGATACCGAAACACTAACTCTCAAAAAAACCGGTGCCAATGGTGACAGTCCTAAGGAATTGCCACATAGAAATAAATAACGAATAACTATGAATTAAGTCATTTATTACTGATATTTTCGTTACTCTTCAATGTTGCAATGACCGTTATGAACCCATAATCGCTACTCAGACATCTGTACAATACAAGATCATTTGAAATTGAGTTTCTCGCAGCACTTCTTCTTAGCAGGTTTTCTCTCTTCTATTAATGTCAAAATAATGGTATAAAAAATATAACCGTCATTTTTAATTATTATTTAAAACACGAAACAAAACACACTTCTATCAATTAATAGGCAAAGTATTTTAGTCTTGTGCTATTATTCATAATCAAGTTTATTACTGTTAAATTTAATACTAACATCGAGGTTTGAAAGCTATTTCTTGTTCGAACAAACTTTTTGTGATTAATATATTTGGTTAAATGATACAGAGCCATATGAAGGTTAACGGTACAAATACAGATATATTTTAATTAGTATTTAATTGAAACTCATCCAATTTATGAGCTCTGGTAATTTTACTAGCAGCAGGCATAATACTACCATGGCTAGTCTAGCCGCTGTTGTCGCATTTCTCATATTTCAGGCGCAGACTGGCACAACGTGTGGTTTTAGTCGATTCGATTCGAACACACGGCCCCGCCTCAAAATTCCTGTTGGGTGACGGCCCGAGGAGGTTACCATACGTAAAAAAAAGGTCGAGTTAAGCGGCTTCGATTTGCTAGAGATTGTAATTCTTATAACTTACTTCCAACCTCGTTTTAAAGTATATTTCAAATCAGGCTAAAAACATACAGCCTTAGTTACGATATCAAGGGTAGGCTATGTTGACTGCAAGAAAATCTTACGTCATTAGATATCTCATACAGGTCCTGACTTTTCTTTTTACAATAAATTTGTCTTCTACAATAAAATTGTATATTCCAAACAGCTTTGACAAAGTTGGCAGTAGGCGGAGTTACGTAGACAGTGCGTAGGCGCGTATCAGGCCTACGGAGACCTGTAGCCAATACCGTAGCACTCCGTAGCGCGTAGGTGGCTAATGAAGAGGTAGGGCTTATATAAAAGGTCATTGTTTATTACTAACGATATTGCATTAGGAAGGTCCTAATTGTCTTTGGTTTATATTTAGACGTTTCTTCTAAATTGAACATACTACACAGTTAAAAGTCACTTGGAGATAATTAAAGAAACTAACATTTCAGTATACATTAAAGTTATCCTGACATGAAATAATTAATAACAACTCGACACATCTCACACACAGTTGTCTTATAGCAAACTGGGCAGAGCCAGTGCTATGGTAACCAGACTGCTAATAAATACCGTTGTATATTTCTTTATACATGAATTTTATAGATAAATTACACCCAGACACAGAACCAATGATCGTACTCATAATGTTTGTCCACGGCCAAAATTGAACCCACGACCTCTAGCATAGCAGTCAGAATGATAAACCAATAGGCCCCCAAACTTGAGTAAAGAGAAGATAAATCATAAAATAACTTATAAAATTATGATATTTTATAGTTAGCTGCATTCCTCCTCCCCTAATTTTTACCCTTAAAAGTTTAACACATTTTAAAATTATAAATGTGACAAACGTAGCACAACCTACTGTTAACTGTTGTTAAACTCAATTTAAAAGAATGAATAAGGTCGTTGCATAACTTTAGAAGATTAGGCGTAACATACTCACTAAAATTCAATCAAATTTAAAATACAGTTACAGGCACTGAGAAACCTTACAAACAAATCAAGCTTTACCTATATAGTACGTTATATGGTTCCCATATGGCTTAAGGTATATATTTTTCCAAAGAATAATTACATCCGTATTTCAGAGAAAATAGAAGATATATAAAAGTGTCCGAACTATCAAATAAATAGTTCCCACATCTCATATATATTTTCTTTCCTCCGTAACGTCCCAGTTAACAAACACACTGAAGAGTCTAGACAATCGGCAACTACGTTTATGTAATTACGCCTGTATCCTGTTGTAACATCACTTCGTTAGTAAGTTATGTCACGTGACTAAGAAACGTAGCACTATGCACATACTTGGGTAGTCAAAGTCTGTCTATGTAATTCTTTAATTATATGAAAATATAATAGTCAAGAAGTCAAGAAGTAATTTCATTTATAACTACGTCAAAAAGCCATCGACGAATATAAAATATCCCTTAAGATGTAGCCAGCGGTGTATTAAACACTCGCATTTTCTCAACTATAATGTAGGACTACTCAGTAAAGAAGACAAGTGTGTTTTATATAGCGTCAGGGGTCAAACGTCCACTAAAAAAAACAGGGGTTAAACGGGCAGTTAGGTCACCTGGTAATTGACTACTGGCGCCCATAGACGTCTGCAACTTAAGAGTCACAAGTTAACTGTAGCCCTTTGCCCCCCCCCCCCCCCCCACCCCCTCTGGTAACCTCACGGTCTCGGTGAATAACAACGGAATTATTACTTAAAACACCGGTTTTCTGTGAGGGCATGATATCACTACGGTCGAGCTAGCTTATTTGTGCTAAAGTTTGGCTCTCTCACGAATGGAACTTCCATATATGATGAAACAAAGAAACAAACTACAGCGCCATCTATCGAAGACACACCAAACTACGGAGTAACTGCTTCTCCTGTATCGCGATATTAATAATCTCTCAAATAGGTTAAAGAATGCTGTGGTGAACATTTTGAATTTCCTTGAGTATTCTATAGCGGACGTAATAGGTTACAATGGTAAAAAGCCATATTTCAACACAAATGGGCAATAGTCACAGCCTCACAGAAAACTGGTATTACACAATTATTTCGTGTGCATGCGACTAGGTGAGGTTGCCGGTGCCTAAACCTTCCATCCCGTAGATTCTGAGTGTAGGATTTTGAAGGTTGACTCAATGGGTCGCGACGACCTTGTAACTGTTGAGTTGTAGGTTTCCATGGGCGGCGGTAGTCATATACCATCAGGTGACCCTCGTTTGCCTCCTTATGGCATGAAAAAAGGTTCGCTATATTCTTATTTAAGCAATTAAACATACATACATAAATTTCTGTATAAAACTTACCATAGCACCAACGTCTTTCAAAATAAAAAGATCCTTGGCAAAAATATATTTCTCGTTCTCGTTAACATACCTCGTATTTTTACCACGATTGTAACACAACATTGAATAATTATGTAGAAAGTAGGATTAAGTGTTCTGAGTCTTCTTCTCAGTTAGTTATCTATTGGACGTCCCGCCAAAGCACAAAAAAATATGAACTAAAATAATCGCGTGACTTCAATGAAAATTTTTCTTTTTTTTATTTCTTAGCTTTCCGCACGAAATATTTTAAATATAAATAATATTTCATAGTTTTTTAAGTAATAGTATCGCAAAATCTTAAAATTGCAATTCTTAATAGGTATAAATCCTAGGGTATATTTCCAGAAAGCATTAAAAAATTCCGATCTTGAAATCAAAGTCAAGACTTCAAGTTTGCTCGCAAACAATAATATAATATGAGCAAGTGCCAAAAATAAACAATTATTGTATATTAATAGCACACACAAACCCTAATTGGATAAAATATTGTAAAACAATTCCAGTCACTTCAAAGGGTTTAAATCTATTATATTCTTGCTTACTCTTTAATGGCAAACAATACACTCCTGTTTTTAAACAATACACATTACAAATAATGTTAGAAAATAGTTAAAATAAATGAACTTTTAAAGATGTTTCTTGTAAAATTATGAAATTGAATGTTAGTCCTGAACTCATGAACATGACACTATAAAATTATGCATGTTGCATCTTGGGCGACTGACACTCCTAAAATAACAGAGATAACTAGCCATCATAGTTTGCCTTCCGTTTTTTTAATTCGTTATATATACTACCTTCAATAATTTTTCAGATTTTTTAATCCAAGAATTTAGGTTTTATTTTATTTTTTATTTCACGCATTCTCTTCCAGTCAACCTTTGGGTGATGTAGAAATCGTATACGATAGGTGCACAGGGGTTACTAATTATGACATGTATGTAATTTATGAAAATATACACGGTTCACTACATACATATACGTATACATACACATACACATCATAAACATACATATATAAATATCTTTATAACTATACATATTTTCTTTTGGTTGTTTTTAAAGGAGATAAATAAATAAATAAATATTCGTACACTATGTATACCGGAATAAAAGGTATACTATGGACTGGGTAGTTCGGTAACGGAGGTAGGGAGCGATTGAAGTAGGTGAGGTCGGTGAGTTCAAAAGTGAGAATAAAGAGGTAAGTATAAGCTGATGGCAATGCATGCGAATAGGTTACCAGTTTAATTGCGAACGCAAAGTAGACACATGGCCATACTTCCGAAGATTGAAAATGTATCGAATGCAGTTATTCAAAAGATGGTCCAGCTTATTAAGAAGGTCCAGCTTATTCAGGTCGAAATACCATACATTACCCTAGTCGATTATTGGAATTATTAAGGACTGCAAGAGTGTGGTTTTAGTTTTAGGAGTTGAGTCGAACTTGGTATTTGACTGCACGGCTGAATGGAATAACTGAGCCATTGAAGACGGCTGATGAGATAGAAGTAGTATCCAATCTGCTCATTTACCTACTACGATTGCCTGTCATTTGGTTGGGTTAATCAACAGTTCAAATCTTTTGTAACTTCTAGGTCCCTGTTTATTTCGTCAATAGCCTGTGCTAGGCTCCTCTACCCTTCTTGGTGTCCTTGTGGTCCTCTACCCTTGCTTGCGAATACAGCTGCAGATCATCGGCAAACACGTGACACTGAAGACGTTGAGTTTTGAGGTTAATGAATATTGAGAATAAAAGAGGAGATAAAATGCCGCCTTGTGGGATGCCGGCGTAGAGGTCGCACCAACTTGATGATATGTCATCAACACGAACATATTGCTGTCGCCCCTGGAGATAGGTGGAGAACCATTCCAGTGTTTTAGAAACAACCATAAGATATGTAAGGATAGATAAGATTGCGTTATTGACGGTATTAAAGACGATAGAGAAGTCAACTAATACCAATACTGTGACGTTGGTCTCTTCCTTGCCCTTTTTAATATCGCCAGTCACTTTAAAGAGAGCGGTAACTGTGCTCTAACCAGACCTCACTCCAGATGAAAGAGGGCTTAATAGTTGGTTTTTGTATATAAACTGTGAGAATTGTATACATAAACACAGGCCTCGAGTATTTAAGATAGAAAGAGAATAATATAAATAGATAGAGAGTATTCAGAAAGTGAAGGGTTATTATTTTTTGGTAGAGGAATAATATAAGTCTTACGCCACAAAGAGGGGAAGGTATCAGAGTCGAGAGAGAATTTGATTATGTGAATAGTTACTGAGAGAATACAGTCTTGGATGGTGACAATCATGCGACAGCTAATGCGATCTCACGCCATAGCATTAGAACGGATAGATAGAATAATCTTCTTTATTTTCTTAGTTACTTATAAACGAGTCAGTAGTGGGACTGGTAAGACCAGATATGTAGTGTAGCGTTTGACACTTAGTTTGAAGATCCAGCGTAGCTGTGGATGAGAAATAACGGTTGATATCATTCAAAGAAATTTTATTGTTAAACACGGGATGTTGTTGTTTACCAACTCCTACAGTACCAAGAAATTTATAGATACTGGAAGAAGAAGAAGACTCTATGTTTTGAAGAATATGTCGGCGTTTAGGATTGCGAGTCACCTATTTGCACCGATTACTTGCGGCCTTATAAAAGGTTCTATTTGTCTTCGCAGTTAGAGTAGAACATCAACTCTAACAAAAATTACCACTTTAAAATTCAATTTTTCGCAAACCTATCACTGAATCAAAAATTAGACTTCATAAGCCTTTAATTATTTTGAAAGAGCTATCCAATGGTACCCCACAAGGGATAGCCATGAAATAAAGAACATCTCCTAAATATTCCAGGGTAACAACTATCTCCAACTTATTACATTTACAAAACTAGTATACCACTAACTGACTTAAATTTATTCAAAAGAGATTACAGTAATAAACATGTCAATTGTAGTACGAAGTAAT